AACTGTGCACTAGACTGCCACTACTACCACACTACTACCACCACCACCACCACTACTACTACTACTACAACTACACCACTACTAATACCACTACTACTACTACTACTACTACGACTACTACTACTACTTCTACTACTACTACTACATCCCCGTGCAAATTTCTTTTAAAAACAAGATGGAGCCCACGAACCCGAATGCAGACACGTTCGAAAAGCTACAAATGATACTCTTGTAGCACACTCTTGTAGGACATTCTTGTGGGACACTCTTATAGGACACTCTTGTGGGACACTCTTAAGGGACACTCCTGTGAGACACTCTTGTGGGACACTGTTGCGGGACACTCTTGTGGGACACTCTTGTGGGACACTCTTACGTGACACTCTTGTAGGACGCTCTTGTGGGACACTCTTGTGGGACACTCTTACGGGACACTCTTGTAGCACGCTCTTGTAGGACACTCTTGTGGGACACACTTGTGAGACACTCTTGTGGGACACTCATATGTCATATGGGGCACTCTTGTGGGGCACTCTTGTGGGACACTCTTGTAGGGCACTCTTGGTGGACACTCTTGTGGGACACCCTTGCGGGACACTCTTGTAGGAAACTCTTGTCGGAGACTCTTGTAGGACACTCTTGTGGGACACTCATGTAGGACACTCTTGTGGGACACTCTTGTGGGACACTCTTGTGGGACACTCTTGTAGGAAACTCTTGTGGGACACTCTTGTAGGACACTCTTGTGGGACACTGTTGTGGGACACTCTTGTGGGACACTCTTGTGAGACACTCTTGTGGGACACTCTTAAGGGACACTCTTCTGGGACTCTTGTGGGACACTGTTGCGGGACACTCTTGTGGGACACTCCTGTAGGACGCTCTTGTGGGACACTCATGTGGGACACTCTTGTGGGACACTCTTGTAGGAAACTCATACTCTTGTAGGACACTCTTGTGGGACACTCTTGTAGGACACTCTTGTGGGACACTCTTGTAGG